TCTAAAATGTCCTCCAGAGTCTCAGTATTCAGAAGTGTGGCTTTTGGAGTGTGATAAGATCACAAGACTGCTATGAATCCAGAGAGTTCATGGTGCAGGTACTGTTAGGAGGGGGCGTAGATCATGGGGACATGACCTGGGAAGGTGGATTCTCCCCTGCATCTCGTGCCTGGTTGCCACAGGGTGAACAGTTTTCCCTTGCTGAGCCTTTCGTCCTGTTGTTTCATCCTTAAAGCCAGCCAACTTCAGACTGAACTCACTAGAAATTATGAGCCAGATAAACCCTCTTTATGTTTCGGGTGTCAGGGGGTTTTGTCCCAACAACAGAAAAGTGACTGATGTACCTGGGACCAGTCAGTCTTTGAGGAACACTGAATTCAGAAGATATCTATAGAAACAAGTATGACCCCGTGCACACCAAAAAGGAAAGAAATGTGATGGAGTTGGAACAATCAAGCTAGAAGGACAATTCCAGGAACTAGAAGAGGTTTGAGTGATGTGCTTGAATCCTCTTTATTTTCCCAAAATTATGTGTTGGGGTGCTGGGGCCTGACACCCTTATTCTTTTGCATTTCATGCTTGATTGTGAGCTATATAAATGATAACAGTGCATGTAAGCATTATGCAAGTACTTCCCTCCTCTATCCTTCATTGAGAAATGTAGTCTAAAGGAACAGCAAAAGGATTCTTAGGGCATTAGGTGAATCAGAATATAGATTAATAAGAGGCTCCTGGTAGTCACACATTTTGGTCTAAAACCTTTCCTGAGGGTCGAGGTACTGCTGTGTTGCTTTAAATTGCTAGAATTTGCTTTGTAAGCCAAGACCATAAAACTAGCCTAGACCATGAATGGAATGTCGGCATTTCAGGGGGAAATTTCTGCCATGGGGCACAGGAGACATGGAAGGATGCACTGTCACCAGCAATTCAGGTGGTTTGGGGGAAGCCAACAAAATTCTGCCAAATGTCAAGATACCTGAGATCAGTCCTAGGATGCAGAATCTCATTTCTGGTTTTTAGGAAGCACAAATAGCATTCATAAAGCTTTCCAAGCATAAAGTGATGCACCGTGCCAGAACTTTAGCTCACCCTCGCCAGCCATGGGGTTTGGAGCCCATCCGAAGGCTAACACTTGGTGGTAGAATCATAGTTGGCAAGATCAAGGTCTCTTAAATCCTGGGGTTGGGTAAATCATAAATGTTGCGCTAACATATGGGATTAAAATAGTAAACGTTCAGGAGGCAGCCAGCCACCCCCTCCAAGTAACCATTGTGTAAGCTGAGGTGACCTGGAAGACAACGCTGGCATCCCTTTCTCAGTTGTTTGGAGACTTTGCCCGCTGCCCTTTGGCAGTGGTGAGGAGGAGGTTCTCAGCAACAAACCCGCTCTTTTAAAGGTATGAGAACTAGTCCTCGCTGGCTCAAAATGAAAAGCCCTTTGTAATTACTTGCTCACTCCGGACCAACCTCCCCTAAATTCCTTCTCTCCCTCTCCACCCCTTCCTTCTTAAAATACAAGTCTAGGCAGGTGTGTCACCAGTCTCCTAACTTTTCACAAGTTATGCAAGCACATAAGGACACAGTTTTTGAAGCCTCGTCTTCCAGATTATGCAGGAGGGTCAATCCGATCACTTCCTTTTCCTCCGCTGAGTCCGGCCTGCCATCCCATCTCTTTTAGCACCTGATAGCACCCCTCTCCAAATCTGTGGAGCAGGGCAAAGAGCAGAAGATGTTGATTTTCCTTTAAGGAGTTAGAACAGATGTAACAAGAGAGCTAGCTGGTTTTATATTTTTGGCAACAAATGTAAAACAGTATGATCTCAAAGCCTGAAAAAAAAATCGTTGAATACAAAACATCTTTTAAGGAACTAAACTCAGGTCCTCCATTGTCACAGCTAAGCCCAAACTTGTGATTCTCCTGCCTCAGCCTCCTAGAGTATTGGAATTATAGGCGTGTATCACCATGTCCAATTATAAAACGCTTCAAAAAAATTTTTATTAGTATGTGTTTTCAGTACACCGTGATTATACTTATTGTGGGAGTTTGCATGTACATGACACATTCTTAATTCTTTTTTTGTCCCCTTCTCCTCCTAACCCTCCCTGTTCCCTCCAACTTTTGTTCTCTTCCCAGTTGAAAAAGCTCTCTTTCCATTTTTTCTTCTTTTAATCCCTTTTCATTTTCTTCCCTCTTCTATCTCTCATTCCCTTTCCCATTTGAAAAAGATTTTTCTGCTTCCTGTTTTCTGTCTTTTATTTTGCTTTTTATTTATGCTTTTAGTTTTTCATGGAAAAGAAACCATGTGATATTTAAACTTATTTATCTGATTAATTTTGCTTAACATGGTATCAAAGTGCATCCATTTACCTACAAATAACTCAATTTTATTCTTCTTTATGGCAGAGTAGTACTCCATTGTGTACAAATATCACATTTTCTTTATTCATTCAGCTGTTGATAGACATTGTTGATAGGCTATTTCTAGGGTTTACCTATTAGAAATTGTGCTGCTATAAACATAGCTATGCATATATCCTAAAATGATGACTTTTACTCTTTGGGAAGATTCCTAGGAGGGCAATAGCTGTGTCAAATGTATTTCTACTTTTAGTTTCTTGAGCAATCTTCATACTGATCTCCATAGTGGTTGCACTGGTTTCCACCAACAGCGCAGAAGAGCTCCTTTTTCTCCTGCAGCCTCGCCAGTATTTGTTATTTGATTTCTTGCTGATAACCATTCTTTATGGAGTCAGATGGCATCTCAGAGTTATTTTAATTTGCATTTCTCTAATGGCCAGCAATGTAAAATGCTTTTTTATAAAACAATTAGAGAAAATTTCATAACAAAATTATGAGAATAATAATAGTTAATATATTGTGTATCATTATCTTCAAAGTAGTTCGTAGAAAAAAATTATTGCAAAGAAGAAACAAAACAGATATTAGCACAAAATTTTCTTTTCAATGAACCCAGAGAAACTAGTAGCATAAATGAAAAAAATCAGCATATATATTAAAATATTTTTGAAACAGCAGAATAGATAATTTGGGGAAGCATCCGAACCTCTTCCCACTTTCTCTCTCCTCCACTAAAGGCTTTTGTAAAAAAGCTGGACCCTTATAACTAGTGCTGAGAAAGGACCCGCAGAGGAGGGAAGGATTCTTGACATTGGGGCAGAGGGAAGAAGAAGAATGCGAAAATAAGCAGGGGAATCACTTTTGGGTATAAACAAATAAAATTTCAGTGAGGAATTATGCAAAACTGCCAGTATTTTCAGAGCTCAGAGTAGGAGAAGTGGTCCCAGGGTGTCACACAGGGACAGAGCCCAGCTCTGTGTCAGGTAGGGTGTCAGGTAGGGCGACTTTGCTGGGAACATCCAAAATCACAGGCTTCATGAAGACAGATCACACAGAAGGCCTGGGTTGGCCCTCAGTTATCAGGACCCAGCTTCCCTTGAGCCTTCTGCACGGCCATTTCTGGGCTGTGCCTGCCTCCTCAGGGCCCAGAGAGGCACTGAGGTTCCAACCATCCAATCTCACCTCAGAAATCCCAACTCTGCAGTTTACTTTTCCCTGACCAGAGAGTTATGTGACCCCCAAAGAGGGCTTCAAATAATCTGAGAAAAGTCGTAGCAATTCTTTGTCGTGGGATCTGTTCCTGCGGTGCCAGCTGTGTTTAGGCGCCGCTCTAGGGCGGCAAGGGGAAGAGTGGATGGGTTCAGTACTTAAGAAACTGACAGCTCAGTGGGAGTCAAGGCAGGCTATAAATGGCAGTCATTTGACAACCTGCCTTGTGTGCGCAACTCTTCAGCTGTGCATCATTAATGACGGGAGCAGACAGTGTCAAACATCACTGTGGGCAGCCTGAGGCATCAGGGGCATCTCTCTGATACAAATTCCTTTCAGCAGACCCTCCCCAGTGCCCACCAGAGAAGGAGGGCTGGGAAGAGGAGGCAGGAGAATGGAGCAGGCAGGGAGCTGGAGGAGCCCAGCCTGAATCAACCGGGCTCCCTTCAGGGCTACGTGCATAGAAAGACTAGAGAGCAAGTCTCAAGTCTGTTTTTCTGTTTCCTGGCAGAGAAGGATTCGGGGCTTACTCCTTGGAGAGCAGGATGGTGAGGAACAATTTCGTACCTCCAATGCATGTTTGTAGGGTAAGCTGGGGGGCATAGGAAAACACTGGGAATGGCCTTTTCCCTATCAGGTGACCTGCAGGAGTGGTTCAAGCCTGATTTCACTGGAAACTAGATGAATGTTCAAGTTGAGGCCACACTTGAGGTGGGCATGGTTCTAAATGACCCAGGACCGCTGGCGCTCACCCAGCACCCTCTGCCACAGCTGCCATGCAGCACCTCAGACCATCTGAGGCAAACGTCAGTGTTTTGTTCTAAGTTTCTATTTCCAACAAGTCATGAAAGTAAAATACTGTATTAGAAAAGTTAAATTTAAAGTTATATAACATATACACTGGAGACTTCGATTGTTGATTCAAGAAACACAGAGTTGCTCTTTTACAAGTTCTGATTCTCGAACTTGAGTTTGCCTGAAGCAAAGAATCCAGGGCCCTGCTTACTGTGTCCAGGACTGCACTTCAGGCCTCACTGCCTCGAGCCAGGGCCCAAGGGCAATCAGGAACTGCTATCCTTTCCAGCTGCCTGTTAGGCAACTCAGAAAGAGAATGAAGAGTTGCCCTGGCCTACGTGTCCCTTACTGTCCTCTACAGCTATATATCTCTGGTCCCTCCTACCTGGCTCACTGTTGCTGGGATAAACTTTCCTATGATAGTCCCTGTGCAGGTGAAAATGTCGTCACATGCCCACTCCTGGAGAAGGGCAAAGTTCAGCTGCCTGTCATCTTGATGCAGGTGTTGCTACCTGAGCACAGCCATTGGCACACCCCAATTTGCTTGGCTCAGCAAGGCGACCGCTTGTCTCCAGCTTGTCTCAAGCTGTCTGGCCCGGCCCTGGCAGGGTGAGGTCACTGTGAACTCTGTGTTACAGTTCTCCAAGGAGAGGCATGTCATGGACAGGACCCCCGACAGGCTGAAGAAGGAGCTGGAGGAGGAGCTGCTGCTGAGTAGCGAGGACCTGCGCAGCCACGCCTGGTACCATGGCCGCATCCCCCGACAGGTACCTGCTTCCCCACCCGGCACATCCAGCTGTCCTCGGGCCATGTCAGATCAGTGGATCCAAGGTCACGCAGGAGTGAGCTCCTGATTAGCTAAAAGTCAACACTATAAAGTGACTTAGACTCACTCTAAGGACACCTTGGGAAGAGTGAATGCCAGGAACCCAGAGTGCCCAGTAGGCGGATGCAGGAAACGCTGGTGTCCTGAGGTCTGCAAACACGTTCTGCAGGAGACCATAGCCGCAGAGCCAGTAACCTGAGGAAGTTCGCAGTTGGGCTGGGTTCACATAATTGAGCTCTTGGCTAGTTGCCATGACAGCCTCCTGCCACTTGGAACCTGCCTCCTTTTTAAGGTAACAGGGCAGGTGGCACAGACTGACAAGGCCACCCCTGCCCTACCATGACCAGCAATTAGTTACTTTTTCCATCCCTTCCTCACCAGATCGCATGAAAACCAGAGATGGAGAAAAATAGAAATTATAGCAGTGGCTGCAGACTTGTGGCTAAGATAATTTGTGTGATTGTTATCTGGGTGGTTGCCATGAATCATGTTTTCATTTCATTATATAAAAATTGAAAAGTAGACAAGTGTGCAGAATTGAGGTGTAGAATTTCCCTTGGGTTTTCATTGTAAATCTGATCTGGCCAGTCATTAACCAAGGACAACACGACAGGAAACAAGTAGAAGGGAAGGGTATCATGTAATTTTTTTTTTTTTAACTGTAGTAGAGTTCTCACCACTATCAAAGAAACAATTCTTATTCGAACCTTGTTTTTTAAGCATAACATTGACTAGAGAAAATACAGATAACAAAAAGAAGAAAATTCTCTTCCATGATTTCTCCTAAAGATAATCACTGTGAGCATTTCGTTATATATGCTCCCAGAACTTTTCAATCGTGAATGCTATGTCCTGAGAATCTTCACTTGCTGTAAAATGCTCTGCTAGGCTGCATTGTGTGTACGTCTGTTGTACATACACACTGCAATTTATTGGGCACTGAAGAGTGTTCCCAGCACTCTGACCAAAATCCTTTTAAATAGCTACTATATTCGTATCTATAATTATTTCCACAGGCTCAATTCCAAGGGATGGAATTTTTGTGTGAAAACGTATTTTTAAAGTAAAGATATAATTTTAAGAAAACTATGGTAGCATACTATCGTTAGCTAACAGAAGTATACCATTAATTGAATGTTGGGATAGCCCAGAAAATTTTTCAAAGTTTATTAAACCAATAACTGCTACCACACTCCTCCTTATTGTGATGATAAAATCTGCTTGTCGTTTGCTATGAGCATAAATTTTCAGTGATACATCATGCCAGACTAGATTAACTGAGCACTGTAATGAGAATAACTCTTTGAATCTTTATAAACCACTCTATAGGTAATAATATTATCCCCATTTTATAGATGATGGAGTTGAGCTACCAAGATTATATAACTTGTCCAGTTCCACACTGAAACAGAACCAGGCTGTTGGGCTACAGAAAAAGCAGGCTCCATAAAGCTTCAATTTGCTATAAGCAGCAGCATTATCTTGAACTATTTTGAGTATCCACTGTGTTCTAGGCCCTGCCCTTGAGCTCTGCGTATGTAACACATGCAAAGATACACTCTCCTCGATAGCTGTAGGAGATGAGGGATCCCAACTTGACTTTGTTCTAGGCACAAAAAAAAGGATCAGTAAACAGCTCTCCGTTTTGACATTAGACAAACTGAAGAGCTGACTGAGGAAGTGAAAACATGTAGCACTGTCTTCTCTTTATTCCAAAACTCCTAAAAGGCCAACTTTGCCTTTCCTACTCTTCCTCTTCATGATTTGTTCACAGGTGTCCGAACACCTCGTGCAGCGAGATGGTGACTTCCTGGTCCGAGACTCTCTATCCAGCCCTGGGAACTTTGTCCTGACCTGTCAGTGGAAGAACCTTGCTCAGCACTTCAAGATCCACCGCACGGTCCTGCGGCTCAGTGAGGCCTACAGCCGCGTGCAGTACCAGTTCGAGATGGAGAGCTTCGACTCCATCCCGGGGCTGGTGCGCTGCTATGTGGGCAACCGCCGGCCCATCTCCCAGCAGAGCGGCGCTATCATCTTCCAGCCCATCAACAGGACGGTGCCCCTACGGTGCCTGGAGGAGCGCTACGGCACCTCTCCAGGCTGGGCACAGGACGGCAGCCCTGCCGAGGGAAGGATGGATGTGGCCAAGAGGCTGAGCCTCACCGTGGGCAGTGTCCAGGCCCGGGAGCAGAGTTTGCCCAGGGGAAACCTCCTCAGGTGGGTTGGGCCTTCTCTGGGTAGGATGCAGGAGTGTTCAGGGGATCCCTGGCCTGGCTGGGCAGATGAGGCCAAGCAATGAAGGGCGGTACGGAGAATGCACAGTTAGTAAAAGAGCTGTCACAGGCAGTGAGTGATGAGGTCTCAGGTGAGCTGCATCAGAAGTAAATGGTATCCAGGCATGGTGTAGTTGCAGCACTCTGCAAGCCGAGGCAAAAATTTGAGTCTGGCCTGGACAGTTGAGCAACTTAGGGAGACCCTATCTTTAAAAAGAAGAAGGGCTAAAGATGCAGCTCAGTGTGAAGGCCCTGGGTTCAATCCCCAGTACTACAGGAAAATTAAAAATATGGTGCAGGAGCTGACAGGAAGTTTATGGAGGAGGTAGGATTTGGTAGGCCTAAAAGCTGGGGGAGGCTGGGTGGACATTACAAAGGGCAGGCTGCCCAGGCAAGGAGCACAGCACGAGAATGGGGGCAGGACACAGCAAGAGGAGCCTGCATCACTTTGGGCTGGAGCAGTGGGTCCATGGAAGGTGGTGGCCGGTGTGGAGAGGAGCCCCCGGCGGGTACTGCTGTGGTTTGGGATTCAAATTCAGGATTAGTCCCCATGGGAAGGGCATTTGACTCAGTGAGAACAGTTGAGATATCAGGGATAGGAGATGGAGTCCAAACCTCAGGAGACAAGGGAGAGAAGAGTTCGGAGAAGTAGACAGAAAACTAGGGCCTCAGGACGTCCCTGAGCCAGGCACCCTGTGTTTCATGGAGCTGGACCGACATCCATGTGCATGTTGACTGACTGTGCCAGGGAGGAGAGAGGGAGGCAGCTGGGTACAGAGCAGCCCAGCCCGCAGTAGCGCAGCAGCCTTTCTCCTGCTCCCAGCTTCTTAGCTTCTTGCACAAACCCGCGTGTTCTGTTCCACTTGCTGGTTTTCTGTCAGATCCAGGAGCAAATTATATAAACTGTAATTTTTATACAGCAAAAATTTAGAAGCAAAGTACAGGACTCTCTGAGTAATACAAATTACAGCTCTGTGCTACTGGGAGGCTCCGGGATGTGTTAGTCAGCATCTGGCTGAGGACTCATGGTTCCATTGCTGGCTCCGTGGTGAGCAGCTGTTCAACCCCAGGCAGACCCTTGACTTCTCTGGGCCTTCTTTTCTTGTTCTGGAAAGATGGGACTTGTGATGTTTGAACGGCTTAAGAAATGCAAAGCACTTTGTATTTGCTAGGCACATAGTATTTGCTAGGTGAGTGCTAATAATCCTAATAATGATTGTTATGTGGATGGGAATAAGAAGGTCTAACTCAGAGCAGTTGCTGGCCAGTAGACAAGAACAGACATTTAGAAATCTTTTCCCTTTCAGTGAGATTGGGCTTGAGATCCCCTTAAAACATAAAAGGGGTCCCCTTTCTTATGGTCCCCTCAAAAGTAGGTGTTGGCTCTTCAACCACTGGAGCAAGAGTTCAAGTTAGGAACAGAGTGTGAGCTTATCTGGCAACACAGGAGCAACATTGCTCAAGAGGGCACTGGGAGGAGCCTCCCCGTCTGCCCCCAATACTGGTATTAAAACTATTTTTTTAAAGATAAGAAATGAAAGACAGAGTCTAAGTTGAGGAGCAACTAACAGAGCCACATTCTAAGATTGCCTTCTGGAATGCAGAGCCTCCAGTACTAATTCACCCAGGCAGCAGGCCTTGCACAGCTAAAGGTGGGGGGCATGAAAGGTGGCCCCCAGTGGCCTGTCGCTCTGTCCCACTGCCCTTCAGCGGCTCCCTCACGTCAGCGTTGGCTCTGTGCCACCTGCTTTGACGTTGGGCCCTCTGGTTGGCTGGCGGCTGGCCGGGTGCCCCAGGCAAAGGTGTGTGAGCTCAGCCAGGTTGCATTCCACCTGGCTCTGCCGGGCCCTGGAGTCTGACCAACTGATTGCTGTGGACGCTGCCTAAGTATCACTTCTCGGAAGCTGCTTCCTTTGGAATTTGCCCTTTGATTTGCCTTATCTCTGAAGGGTTCTGGACTTTCTCTGTTGCTGGGAGTTTGAGGTTTTTTTGTTTGATGCTTGCAAAGGTAGGAGAGAACTTTGGCGTTTGTGCTTTAAGAGTTTTATGCCGATGGGAGACCAGTGGATGTTCATTCCAGTTTGGCTGGTGCAGTGTCTTTTTCCTTTAATAAGAGAGTCTCCACTGCTCAGTGCTAAATTAGAGAAATTTCCAGTTTGATTCAGAAAAGGACAGAAGGAATGAAAGTGAATGTTTTGAAAGTGACCTTCCACCTTTTCACTGTACCTCCTGGTGCTTGGTGACCTTGCTAATGGCTCCCCCTTCTCCAGCAGGAGCAAGCAGTCTGTGGGTCCTTTCTCCTGCCTCTATCCCTAGTCTGACCCCAACAGCCAGAAGGATGGGCGCAACCACCTCCCCACTGGCCCTGCAGATTGCCTGGGGGATGCTGAGGTATTCAGTGAAATACAAAGCGCCCCATAGCTTCCTTCCAGCCAACACTGAAGCATTATGGAAAGCACGTTTTAAACAAGTCATTCCCCCAGAGTCTGAAAGTAATTTTAGGCTCTGTTAAAAACTGTAGATTCCAGTTCATCAGATTTTCCCCATAGTACCATGAAACTTTTACTCTGCTCTGTTCAACAGGACGCAAAGGCTCAGAGGAGGGAGGCATCCTAGGACTTAGCTGCCTTGGGGACATGGGATGGCGCACTCTGCACAGTTGTATTTATAATAATCTCCCCATCAGTAATAATCCCTCTCCGCGGACATTCCTTTACTGTTAGGGTATGCGCAGCACTCCCATTTTCCGCAATTTCCTTTTTTTTTTAAACTTTCCATGACGTTGCCTAAAGGTTTTACAGCCTAATGACATGTTTCTGCCCCGTTTGTCTTTGGCTTCAGGAACAGAGAGAAGAGCGGCAGCCAGCCTGCCTGCCTGGATCACACGCAGGAGAGGAGGACATCAGCCCTCAAAGCCCATCAGTCAGAAAGTCACCTGCCAATCGGTACGTCTTTGGGGGTCTTCAGTGGGGAAGATGGCTGGCTGTGTGATCCTGACACCTTCAGGATGTTGCCCTGTCCTTTCTGGTCACCTGGAGAAGGCTCCATGCCTGTAGCATAGGAGAGACTGCACTGAGATGGCTGCTTTGTAAGTTCAAGCCTTCAAGATGAGTAGGATTATCCCTATTTTGCATCTGAGGAAACTGAGGCATAGAGAGATAAACTATTTTGTCCACAGTTGCCTCACATTTGAAGCCAGGTTTTTCACTTCTTTTGGTTTAGTAGAGTTTCACCGTATTGCCCAGGCTGGGCTTGAACTCCTCCCAGGTTCCCAGGATCCTCCTATCACAGCCTTCTGAGTGGCTGAGACTACGGGTACAAAGCACTGCACAGGTTTGAAGCCAGGTTTTCTAATTCTGAGACCACTGCACAACTGGTGGTCTTCCTGATAGATGAGGTGACTCCCCTATTCTCTCCTTGGGTGGAGGGTGAGTGGGTTGGTCCTAGGGATCCTGGCAGAGCAGCTGTCCAAAGACCTCTTTTCTCTTTCCTTGACCGGAAGACGGTAGGTTAAGGTGTGTGGGTTGAGGACCTGGTGAGCAGTTACATTAGTAGTGTATGGGATTATTTTTGGTTCTTTTCATAAGTGACTTCCTGGGACACAAAGTGACTTTCTTGATGCCCCTTCATGAATCGCTCTGTGTGGGCTACCTCAGTGTCTCTCTCTCTCCCCTGTGTCTCTAGCTCTCCTTTCCACCCTGGTGTTGAGAGTGACTCAGGGCCCTTGTGCTGTGTAGCTAAGAACGTGTTTTTTCAGGCAAGACTGCATTATTCACTGCTGCCTAAGCTCAGCACATTTTCCTGTTCTGACTTCGGAGACTGTAACAGTGCTGTGGCTGTCAGCAGCACTTCTTGGGATTTTAAATGGCTCCAGAAGTGTCAGGTGGGGCCAGCCCGGCCTTATGATGTTCTACATTGCTCTAGACTGGGTTTGAAGCCCCCACGCTGAATTAGGGGGGTAAACGTTGAAAGCTGAGGGCACAGAGCAAGGACTGGGAGCTGTTACTCTAGTTCTGTTTGTTTTCTATTCTCCACATGGCTGAGCTTTCTCTGACCTCTTCTCCTCACAGGCTGTAAGCTGCCCCCTCAGTCACAGGGGATGGACACAAGCCCCTGCCCAAACTCACCTGTGTTCAGGACAGGCAGTGAGCCCACACTGAGCCCGGCGGTCATTCGCAGAGTCTCCTCAGATAAGAGGGCAGGTGAGGCACTGCGGGGATCAGACAGCCAGCTGTGCCCCAAACCACCCCCCAAGCCCTGCAAAGTGCCCTTCCTCAAGGCTCCCACCTCTCCAGCTGCTGGGCTCAACTCAGAAGCCAACTACTGTGAACTGAACCCAGCCTTTGGCACAGGCTGTGTCAGGGGAGCAAAGCTGCCCTCATGTGCCCAGGGCAGCCACGCAGAACTGCTGACAGCCAAACAGAATGGGGCAACAGGTCCCCGGAACTCGGGCACGAACTACTTGATTCTCGATGGGGACGACGGAGCCAGACCATGGGAACTGCCAGCAGCACAGATGGGTGAGGGACAGGAAGACAAGTGCAAGTTTGTGAGGCCCCTCCTGGAGACTGAGTCCTCCTTCAGGCCCAATGACTTTGAGTCAAAGCTCCTTCCTGCAGAGAACAAGCCCCTGGATACAGCTATGCTGAAGCGGGCGAAAGAACTGTTTATTAACAGCAACCCTAAGGTCATCGCCCAGCACATGCTGAGCATGGACTGCAAGGTAAGTGCGAGTCCAACTACCAAGCTTCTCCTGGCTTTTGGAAGATTCAGAAGGGAGCCTTTCTGGCCTCCCTCGGTCTTCCGGTCACGTGCTTTGCTTCTAGGAGAAGTCTGAAGACAACAAGGGTGTGGGGATTTATTTTCAGGGTGGAAACCTCAGTCCAGACAACCTTTGCCCAGGCAGGAAGCTTATAAACTTTACCTTAGGCAGAAGGAGAGCAGGGTCTCCCAACCCTGCTGGTGACAGGAGTTGCTGCAGTGTCCCCTTCTCCCACTTAGTGCTTGGTTAAAAATAAGGGGCTGGGAGTTTAGCTCAGCAGCATAAGCACCTGCCTTGCAAGCAGGCAGTCGTGAGTTCGATCCCTGGTACCAATAAAAATGAAAAAGCCAAAAATAAAAATTGTCCCCTGGCCTCAACCTCAGTAGGACTGGCAGAGCGAAAAAAGAATGGTTTGAGATGAAATGTAGTTTCTGGAATAGCAGAGCTCTGCTTATTTTTGTTTCATTTTATATATATATATATATATAATATTTTGTTACTAAAATGATCTCCAAGATAAATAAACTTGCTGGGCATTGTGACACATGCCTGTAATCCCAGCAGTAAGGAGGCTGAGGCAGGAGAATAAGACCAGCCTGAATGACACAGTGAGGCTCTGTCTCAAAAATAAACGAATTTTGTGTTGCTGATCATTGAACATAGGGCCTCACACATGCTAGATAGGTGCTCCATTGTTAAGCCATATCCCTTACCCATCATTTTTGAAGTTACTTTGATTTTTGGTAGGTACAGTGGCATGCACATGTAGTTTCAGAATTCAGAAGTTTGAGACATACCTGGGCAGCATAATAATACTGTCTTAAAAAGTAAAATAAAGTACTCTGACTTTTATTTTTTATAGTAATTGCTTGATTTAGAAAAAGTTAAAATCACACAAAATTGATTCCTGGTGATCATCGTTGACAGCACCTGCTGTTACATTGTTATTTGCTGTGCAAGGGGAGACATGTAAACAATGCATGAATAACTTTTGGCTTTGTTTTGTTTATTGTTTGGAGGATTGAACCCAGTCCTTGAACATGAGCAAGCACTTTCCCACTGAGCTACATCCCCAGCCCTTTCTTACATTTTGAGGTAGGGTCTCCCTAAGTTGCCTAGGCTGGGCTTGGACTTGTGAATCTCCTGCCTCAGCCTTTTGAGCAGCTAGGTTCACAACTGTGTACCACCATGCCTGGCTGCTTGATGTTTGTTTGCCACACAAATGGAACTGGTCTATACTAACTAATCCAAACCCAGAGTTCTTCACTGAACAACATAACTATCTTTCCAGTGACTAAATACAGCTGTTTATACCAGCATAGTTTTTGATACAAATCATTTCTTTCAGATACAGGAGCTTATGTGCATAGGTGGTCTCAAGGTAGCCTCTTCCAGAGAGATATTTCTTAACAGCATGTGTCTTGGGCTGGAGTGGGCTCAAGCCCACCACAGTATGAATCAGCTGATCTCTGGTGATTAGATTAACAGATGAGGCCATAGCAAGGTTTACAGATCTTTTTTGATATGAAGCTTTTTTTTCATTTGTAGCTCAGGGAAGTCAATTAACTTCAAATGTCAGAGTTTATTTAAGAACTGGGTTTTCCTTCCTGAGTCAGGAATCATGACTTGGAAATCCAGTCTCTGAGCACTCCAGGGATTTCTGAAGTAAATTAAAGGCCCCTGAAACAACCTTAAGGACTAAATTGTTCCTGGTTATGCTGGCCCTCCCTGCAAACAGGGCTTGAGGGACACCTCAGTGACTCTGGTTGTCTAAGCCAGAGGTGGTCCATGCTGGTGGGTGGGGAAGCCCTGAGGAGAGCCCGAGGAAGGGCTGCTCTGCAGAACAAGGCTTGTTGACTCCTCTGACCTTGTGTCCTGGGGCAGTGCACAAGTTGGCAGGCAATTTGTAGGGTTAATTCTGACTTCTCTTCAAACTTGCTTGGAAGTGGGAGAATTGAGGATTTCGGTTCCAGGGTGTCAGTCCCACTGGGCCCTGGATCTGAGAGCAGAACCATGCCAACAGCCCGCAGTGAGATTCTAGCCTGGTGTGCTCCTGCTGGGTTCTCCACAGGAAACCGCCTCATAAGAACATGGGCTTGGGTTGAAGGAACAGCTCAACTTCAGAGCTAATGAATGCTGTGGACTCAGGACTTGATGATACCATGTGAGGAAGGGAGATGCTTGCCCACTGCTTTGCAGATCTGGAACCTTCCCATCTCCTTTGACAGCCATGGGGTTGAATCTATTCTCTATTCAGCCATAGGGCTGAATCTATTCTCAACTGAAAACCGTGGTCACCTTCTTTCTTGCTCTCATGCATGTTGTCTTTCTGGTGGAGCCCACTGCTGTGTCTACCTTCGTGCACTCCAAAAGGTGCCACATGGAGTCACTGCACATTAGGAGCCAGTCTGGACTCTGCCCACCTCAGCTTTGAGGCAGAGCTGTGTTGTCCTCCTCCTTCCCTCCTTCCACCTTTATTTCTTCGTTCTCTTCCTAGAACCACCAGGCACAGCCAGTGTCTCTAAAAGGGGAAATGGTTCCCCACCACAAATGTAGTAGCAGCCAGACGGGCACCCTCTGAGCCAACAGCAGGCAGAATCTGGAGCCCACACACTGTTTTCCTCCAATGCACACAGCCCAGGGACTGCCATCCAGAAAGCTATAAAGAGGCGAGGCAGGTAGCCATGGAGGCTCCCTGACCAGCAGTGTCCAGCACCCACCTCCCAGGGCCCCTCATGTGCTGCTGAATGGACATTGCCCTCACCTTGCCTGGGTCTAGTGATATTCTCCCACCTAAGTATCTTTTACTCTAGAAATGAGGCAGGGAGAGGAGAGTTTGGCCTCTTAAGTGTGAAGTGCCTGAGTTTGAATCGCACCTCTGCCTGGCTTTCCCTCTTCCTCTATACTTAGGTGGTCAGAGAAAACCAATTTAATGTAAAGCCCTGGGCATTTTGCTGGATCCAGAGTGAGCATGAAGTGTTTATTATTTATTAGTGTTGTGTAGTCAGCATTGATTTTCTAGGCAGCTCAGGTTCCCTGTCCTGTCTCTGGTACGGCAAGATTGGAAAGGACAGTGGCACAGGAACTTGAACCACAACCCAAGAGAGAAGCAGTCTGCAGGGAAGGCACAGGAGTGGGCGCCCTCTGGACAGGACTGTGAACCAAGGGCTTGGTGGCTAGAGACAGACATGGCCTGAGACGAATTTGGAAAGCTGAGGAGTTGCCAGATAAATGCAGAATATCTTGAAGGCAGGAGGAAGGCATATTTACAGGGACTCAGATAACAGAAGCCATGGGGAGAGAGGCTGGTTTACAAAGGATCCATTTGAAATTGCAGCCTAAGTCTGCAACTGAAGAACATCCAGTTGAAGATGCTGGGATGAGGTAGGAAGGGGAAAGCCTGGTGGGTTTTGATTACAGTGTTTCTCAGTCTCTATCTCTAGGCTCATACCAGGTTTCTGCTTTCAAAACACTTTCCTATCAAGTGAGAGTGACGCCCTGCAAGTGTGTAGCTATAGGTCTGGGTCCTCTGTGTTAGGGGCAACAGAGCCTGGCAATCTGATGGCATTTCAAAAGGTCCATGGCAACCGGGAGGATGACCATATCAGAGCCCATCAAGCCCCTTGGGTCATCTCAGTAGCCTCCAGGGCGGTACGATGAGGAGAAATGAGCAGAGTCCTAAAATCTGATGCGTAGGATTGCTAAGGCTGGAAACAGGGACACTGGAGCATGGGACATGTGTGCTCCCCTGCTGGGTCCAGGCCATAGGAAGGGACCCTCTACTGTAAAGGTTCTATAGGGGAGTGCTCTTCTGCGTTTGTATGAACTTAAGATTCTCTTGTTCTAGAGCTCAGCCAGGGAAATCCAGTGTGGCCCTAAGGGACTGGAGATGGCATATGTACCCTGAAGACCAACTAGAGACTCTCTCAGAACAGGAATTGCAGAATGCCTGCTAGTGCTTCCAGAGCAAAAGGGAATCACTGGCAAGCCTTTCATTCTCATAGTGTGAGGTTGCAGGAATTCCACAAAGGCATGGGTTTGGAGCCTCTGACAGGACAGCTGTCTAAACAAGCAAGGAAGTATGTGGAGAGTGTATTGAGGCTGCCTTCCTAGGGTCAAGGTATAAATCTCCCGAGATCTAGCAAGAATTCTTCCCATTTCCCTATGACAGTGATTCACAACTTTCATAGTTAAACAGCTTTTTTGGGGCCCTAAAGTCACTTGAATCTTTTGTCAAGTCCTTGAGAAAGATGAACTAACTTATCAGTTGTGTTAAACAAGGGGAAACTGAGGCCTGAAGAACAGAAGTGAAAACATACGAATTCTGCATCCTATTCGAGAGTTGATCACTGGGCAGCTAATTCCACGGACTCATCCTAGGGATATTGGAGGGTCCTTTAATCAACCACAAAGGTTAAGGTTCAGAGTTAATAATACTGACCAAATTTCCAGATGTTTTTTGTGGCCTATTATGAACACATCTGTACTGCTCACATGCCTGGAATAATTACGGTCAAGGCAAAGCCCACAGATTGAAAAGAGGAATTGTCCCATGCCTGCTGTGTCCAAGCCCAGGAAGACCTATTTTTTCTGCTAAGGCATTGTCATTACATCAGCGTGTAGTGAAGAGTTGTGGCCCTGTTACAGAGACACACTGACACAGTTGTACCATCCCAATGTAATGTGTAATTACTATAAATGGCCAACTAATGCCTGAGTTCAGTAAACTGTGATTGCATACTACAATTGAGATAGGGTGGGAGCTGGCTTGGACAAAGATTTCCTTTAAGGAAAACCTTTTAGGAAGAGACAGGGTATGTTGGAGACATTGGATTTCAAAACACTATACATGTTTTTAATAGTTTTCAGATGTAGAGTGCATTTACTGAACCCAAGAGAGGCATAATTAAGGGTAATAGCAGCCAGCCACGGCTGTTAAGTGAGAACATGAATGGCAAAGCCCACAGCAGAGGGGAGCTTGGATCGGATTCTGCTTTTCCACTGCAGGGGATGGTGGCTCTGTACACACAGCCCTAATATTGGCAGCAAAACATCACAGCAGGTTCCAGCCTGTGCCGGATCAAAGCTCAACGAACTAAAGTGTTCTCTGGCTGGGCAGGAACGTGTGCCAGGTCTGCAGATTCCTCAGAACAGTTTAGGTGTTCCCCAAATCTTTCCTTCCCCCCTGAATTTGATATTCTAGTATGTGTATTAAAATGTCACGAATATATAAGAAGCATGCTATCGGAGTGCTGCAGCATAGAAAGAGATACAAGTAAAAGGCGTCCCCAGCATCCCAGTTTAGTGTGCTGCTTTTCACATGCTGAATCTGTGCTCCAGCAGCCCACTTGCTGATCTAGTGAATTTCAACTTCACTCCTGGCAGGTTGCTAGGATACTTGAGGTCTCTGAAGAGATGAGGAGGAACATGGGCGTGAGCTCAGGGCTGGAGCTCATTACCTTGCCTCATGGTCGCCAGCTGCGCCTGGACATAATCGAAAGGTGAGCAGTGCTATCCCCGCATTTCCCACCCTTTTCAACACCTTGCAGGTTTCAGAGGGCGGAGGAAAGAGCAGCACCAGCCCTGCCTGCCTCAGAGTTCTGGCACTGCAGCTCATGGCCCCAGGTGACACTTCTCAGAAGGCTGAGCTGAGAATTCCTGGAGATGCACAAAGAGAGAATACAGCACAAGTCAGGGACAAAGAACACTTCCCAACCCTGTTCCCAGAGTGGGTGAATGGAGAGAAGAGCCCTGTGTGGAGCTCAGGCTTTAAACATCCAGGCAGCCTGGGGCTGCAGAGACCTCTTCCTGCTCCCCCATGTCCTCCAGCCCCACCTCAGGAGCTGACTGGTATTGAGAGGAAAAGATTCTGAACAGTTTCTTTGAGAGCTAGACAAAGGAAAGGTGAGTGGTCAGAGGTTGATGGCATTCGGCTCCTGGACCTCCAAAGTATCTCTGCTGTTCTCTCAAAAAGTCACAGCCCTGAGTGCCACTAAAATGAACATGCATGAATATGGATCTTCAGAAATTAGCCATGCACAGGGAGGCATGTTTTTAAAAAAGAAGTGTGAATAAATTTCTCTGTTTACCTCAAAAGCCAGCCTTTCTGACATTAGGAAAAAAAACCTCACTTGGGCAAGACTGTCTTATCTTGGATTTTCTGTTTACATGACAAATACCACAGTGGCCATGACTGACTCCATGGCTTCCCATGGTGCTCTTGCTCACAGCCCTATCCAGTTCCAATATCTGCATCTGTGGTTACTGGGCACCTGAAACATGGCTACTGAGTCTAAGGAATCAAAATGTTTATTAATACTCTTAAGTGTAAATAGACATGTGTGGCTAGCAGTGTCAGCCCCGTAGGAAGCAAACATTCCATTCAGGTTACCTTCTGCGGGATCCATACCGGCCCTTTAAGGTTCCTTGGCTTTAAATCTGATAAGACAACTCCAGCGCCACTGTTGCACGGACCTTACGAATACCACAGAAAACAGCCAGAATGTTGAGTTGAAGGCGTTTGGAGAAGGGAGGTCCAGAGCAGGCCCATGTAGACTTTTTTTGTATGGCTGGGTTTTTGTTTTTTGTTTTTAATTTTAAACAGAAAAAAGTAAAAATAAAACAGAGTTTCAAAATGGGTTAGTAGGAGAGTAACAATACTTAATACATACTGTTATATTCCTAGTAGGTGTTCATAGATAGGGGCATGAGATATTGTCCAAAAAAGTATTAGCACAAAACTTCCTTTTCAACGAACCAAGAGAAATAGCTGTATAATTATCTTGTGTACATATATATATTTTTTTCTTTTCTCTTTCTTCCTTTTCCCTTTCCTGTATCATAGTTTGTCTTTCCTTTTGAACAGTTTCTTTCCTATTCACAATATCTGTTGTATGTTTTAGATCTTACCCCTTCAGTTTCTGATACTAATGAGGCAATATGATGTTTACACATGTAGGTCTGATTTATTACACTTACAAGTGATACTGTAAATCACAGTGACACTTCCCAGCCTGAAAGCTGTCTCAAGTTACATCCATTTATCTATCAAAGTCTCAAGTTTATCTTTATGGCTGAGTAGTATTCCACAAGGCACATCATGTTTTAAGAATCTGAGAAAGTACAGATCCTGTGACGAAATTGCCCTCTTTATCCTGAATCTGACCTCTTCTCTCCTCATGCATGGGGCTTGGATTTTCAATTCCACTGACTTTCTCTCTGTTGTCAGGGCTAAGTGGTCACGGCTTCACTTCCACATTCTCCTGTGATACTTTCCAGCCTGAAAGTTCCCCAGGTGCCATGACTTGTACATCTGAACCTTACTTTACCAGTGCTGGGGTATGGGTTCTGGGCCCAGGCTGTAGCAAGCAGCTTTGGGACTTCTTGGCTTTCTTTTACTCTTGTCATAATCCTATTTTTTCGTCTAGATTTCTGCTGACCTGTGGTCTCACTCCTTAGCCTGTTTCTTGTCCAAGGCTGACTTGTGGAATCTGTTCTGGAAGTGGTTTAATTAATTAGTAGTTTAGTTAAATAAAGGCTATGGTTATAAGGGTCCTGAAAAGCCCAGTGACATCACTTTGTTGCCTTTGAGGATCATTTACCACTTCCCTTGTTCTAGGCACAGTGAGCTGAAAATGGCCTGTGTAACATTTGAGTGCCTCCTCCTGCTGACCTGCTGGCATGAATGCTAGACTCACCAACCTGACCCATTCACTCTGGTAGTAGACTCAGGAGGTGCTGGGCAAATACTGGGTGAACTAATGGATGTAATGACCCAGCTAACCACTGATACAACATTAAGTCTCAAAGGAGGAAAGAGCCTGTCTTTTTTAAAACCTAGGGATGAAAAAAAACCCACTGATACAAAACTCAATTGACATGGGAAATTAGTGTACTGTTATTAAAGACATGTCTAAAATGTTCCACTCAGTGTTAATACTCTGTAAAAGGCACAAAACTGTTCCATAGATCTGTGTTTGGATTCATTGAGAAAGACAGGAAACCAGAGGAAAAAGATAATTGAGAAAAAAGCAACAGGCAAAATGAAGACATAGAAGGCCAGACATACAAATAGAGATAATTGTGATAACAAAAACTGTTAATTAGGTGCCTATTTTTATAAACCACACAATCTCCTTTTCTTACACTTGTTCCCATTTTATATATATATATATATTTATTTATTTATTTTGGGGGGTACTGGGGAACTCGCTCCCATTTTATAGATGAAACTGATGAGAAGAGCAGTTATGTACCAGCTTCAGATCACACCACAAGCAAGTATAATGCACATTTTTGTGCAAACACATTCAGTGATGTTGGAACTCATTATTTATTTGAAAAACGAGAGAAATTAGTGGTGCTGGGTCTAGCTAACTCCTTGCTTGCTATCCTTTGTGCAAGGAGAGCAACAGGTAGAGCAGCACACCTCAGCACACAGCGGGGCACGGAGTGTATCGTAGGCTGTGGACTTCCAGATAGTGTGATCCCTGAGCATCAAAGGCATATTTTGTTTTAGTAACCACAGCTATGGATTGGGGATTCATCTCCAAGAACTTATACTATAGCCTGAAAAAAATTCAACCAAGGTAGTTCAGGCCCAATGTCATAAACTCCTGGATCAGGATTTACAGAGGGAAGGAAAGGGGTCGGTCAGTCTGTGTTTCCTGCTACCAACTGACCCTGTTCATTGTGGTCCTGTTGTTACATAGAGAAAAAGTCACCATGCTTCCTGCCTGGAGTGTGTTTGACCAGAGTAGTTGCTAAGGGGAGATTTTATTAGGCTCTGACTTTGTAGACGAAAAAATTCCTTCTCATCAGGTCGTCAGTCTTTGTCCCCATCACTCTTCACTTGGTGGCCTCTTGACTGGGGTTGCAGAACACATCCTTAGCTACTCTCTCTTCTCTTTTCCTCATGCATACCTGTGTCATCTCTGGGGTTAAGTACTGTATACCCTTTCACGTTTTTGTCCTTCCTGTGCCCCAGTCCGGGGGGTGTAACCCCAGCTTTGCCAAGGATGGTATTCACTGTGCGTGTGGGGAAGACCTGGTATCTCCTTGGAGCTTTCACGAGGGTGGGTACAAAGAGCCACATACTCCTGAGCAGCTTTGCCCTGGAGATCTTCATGCCTCCAAGGCCAGAGGTGAACTGGCCTTGTCCTGGTCATTTTGCTTTTAGACTATATTGCACCTTCTGTGTCCTCTCCAGGGCCCTGGCACTGTGTGCCTGCGTGAGAATGGTCTCTGCTGAGACTGGGTCTCAACACATATCACAGAAATAGCAACAAAAGGCGTAAAAACTGTCAAATGCTGGCTGATTTAGTCTAGTCTTCTAGTGCCATTAACCTGAGCCTCACCACTGACCTTCTTCCTCTCAGACACCACACAATGGCCATCGGCACTGCAGTCGACATTCTGGGCTGCACAGGCACTCTGGAGGACCGAGCAGCCACCCTCAATAGGATCATCCAGGTGGCGGCGGAACTGAAAGATTCCATGGGGGACCTCTATTCTTTCTCAGCCATCATGAAGGGCCTGGAAATGCCACAGGTAAATCTCTGTTTGCTTTGTGAGGCCTTTTGAAGAAGTCTGCACAGCTGTGCTTGGCAGATCAGACAATTTTAGTCAATATCTAAAAATAAAGTAAATCTTAGTGAAAACTGCTTTGGTTGGGGAGAAAGCAGGAGCAATGTCTAAAGTATTTCAGCTCTATTCATAAGTTGATAATTGCTAACAGTCCACACTTTGGAAGGTGAACTCCTATTATGGTGTATTAAAACAATCCTTGTTCCTGCACAACAAGCTAGGTTGAGACATATGGATCATGTATGTTGTATAACAGTAACTGCTTTCATCTGAGTCACCAGATGTGTGGGCTGCTGGGGGGAACGACAGGGCAATTTAACCATTGGGGGAGCTTCTATCAGAGAATCCCAAAAGTAGTTTATCTCACAGTACTGTCAGCAAGTCACCTAAAACAGCCTCTTCTGTTAAAAACGGAAATTCTTGGCTCACCTGCCATTATAACTCCCTAATTAGAATTTCTAAAATCAGGCATTTGAATTCATTTGCATTGGCAGGATTTTTTCAGATGAGTGTCAAACATGAAAAGTTCTATTTGAAATCAAACAGGCCTTTTAGAGGAAAGTCATCTGTTATTTTTATGGCTCAGAATTGACTTTCCTGTTTCTATTCTTCCAAGCCCTAGATGCTTGAAGGACTTTTGAGTATGAGATTACAGACTTACAAGCCTAACCTGCAAATAGTAATACAAAGCTGTTGGTTGCTTAGCTTGGCAATTTCATAACTACAGATTGTCTCTGAAATCATGCCAGCTGCTTACTGAAAATCCATTGTTGCAACTGAGGGAGATAGCTACAATCACATTCCTGCAAATCAGAGAATGGTAGGAATATAATTTTTTTAATTAAAAAGGTCCCTGAGTGGGGTGTGATGGCACACACTTGTAATTCTAGCATTTAGGAGGCTGAGGAGAACATTGCCATGAGTTTGAGGCCAGCCTAGGCTACATAAGCAAGTTCAAGACCAGTCTGCACTACATAGCAAAGGCCTGTCTCATAAAACAGACAGACAAAAAAGCAAAGACCCTTTAAAAATAAGCTGAACAACTTCATCACAGGTTTGGAGTATTTGTGTGTGGGTAATCATTTCTAGTTATAGTATTTCATGAGCTTCAAATTCTTATGCTCTGAATTTTTTTTTTTTTTTTTTTGTACCGGAGATCAAACCTCACGACCTCGAGCTTACCAGGTAGGCTCTTAGGCTGCTGAGCTAAATCCCCAGCCCATGCTTTAAAATTTTATAAATACTTGAAATAATCCATGAATTGCCATATTTCCATGATATATATTGGTTTCTAATGTAAAAATATCTTGGTATAATTTTTCATTCAGGTGTTTTTAATTTGCTTCATACTCATTTTCCCTTATCCAAAATTGCTACAATTTTGATGTTAAAGCTGTCCAACCAGAGTTTCCTCTGAGCATGATAAAAGGCCTGTTTTATGCACTCAAGCTGGTTCACCTGTGCCTGACATCAAATTCAACCACCAAGGACTTAACCCAAATAATCCCAACCTTCGCGGGTGTTCGTTTCCCTCTAGCAGTATCAGATCTTTTTTTCCTGGAGCCTCTCTATCGTGAGGGGACACAGTCTCCAGGGTGCTCAGGGAACTAACAGGGGAAGAAGTACCATACCAGAGAAAACGACAGGAGAGTCACTTCATCCTCATACCATCATCCAAACTTGCCATCCTGTCAAGCTGAGAGAGTAGCTTCCCCAGACTTCGGATTCCTTCCAAAGGGCAGCACCTCCAGAAGCGGGAGGACGGAGAAAGCAGTATGATGAGTGGCCAGAGAAAGACGGGCAATAAATTGGCTGCTGCAGATCTTTCTTACGTTCCTCTTGGAGAATAGCGGGCAGTGAGAGGCTAAGGAAAGGACTCTTAGCTTAGCTCAGCTGAGAAATCCTTGGTAAGTTAACTGATCTTCCCTAATTTTCAAAGTACATATTTGCACTATCTTATGACTGCATCTGTTGCGTGCGGTTGGTACATGACTTGTCTTACTTATTTTTATGCCTCGTCCCACTTCCCCTTTCCATCTCATTCCCCTTCATTTGCCAAAGATCTATTCCCTTATTGCTTATTGTCTGTCTTTGGTTTTTGTTTTTTGATTTATATGTACTTTGGGTTTCTCATATAAGAGAAACTATGATTTTTAAGGTTGTGTATCTGATTTATTTTACTCAACAGAAGGAGGAAATTTTTTAATCGGGTATACCTCAGACAGAGGAGTAACGTCTAAAATATACAAAGAACTCAAAAAAATGAGATGCTCCCCCAAATAAGACCCAGTCAAAAAATGGGTAACTGAAATGTGTAACGATTTCTCAGAAGAAGGTGCACAAATGGCCAAACAAGGACAAGAAAAAATGCTCGTCTTCACTGGTCATTAGAAACATGCAAATTAAAGTAACGCTTAGACTGTCTCATTCCAGAAAGAATAGCTCTCATCAAGAAATCAAATAATAACAAATGGTGATAAAACTGGTGAAAAAAGAACTGTTCTGCACTGTTGGGAGGATTATAAATGAGAACCACCACTACGGAAATCAGTGTGGAGATAGCTCAAAAAAAAAAAACCCCACCTAGAAATTCTACTTGACTCAACTACTGTACTCCTAGGAATCTTCCCCAAAGAGTTAAAATCATCATATTAAAGTGTATGTTGCATACCCATGTTTATGGCAGCACAGTTCATAGCTAAATCTTGAAAGCAGTCTATACAACTCATGAACAAATGAATGGGTAAAGAAAATGTTATTTACACACAATTGAATAGCATTCTGACATAAAGAAGGATAAACCTGAGTTATTATCTGGTTTTTGATCTATGAGGCCAAAATACCTGCTCATAGGGGCAGTGTGAGGATAAATGAAATTCTTCAGATACCTTATGTAGAGTTGTCACATTCCCTCAATACCAGTGCCTGCCCTGCTTTGTGTAGAAGATTTTAAAAACATTTAGGCTTGCTGGCTTTATGGTATGAAAGGGAGGACCATTCATTGTAGGTCAGTTGAGTCAGTGGCAGATGCTGGTGTAGACTACATTGTTCCAAAAGAGATAAAAAGGAATGAGCTTTGGCATCACATGGCCAGGGCAGCCTTCTCTGTCTCAGACATTATGTGAAAGCAATATTAAAATGCTTGCATCACACTCCTGTATCCTTACCTTAGTACAGCCTTCGTACTGGATGCTCAGTTACATCTCTCAACATTTAAAATATGTGTACTCTTTGGCCTGGAAGTTTTTATGTCTGGTAACTTATCCTCAAGATATTTTTACTCACGTACACATTTATAAAATCTCTGCAAGTTTAACTTTGTAATTGTAGAATACATTTAAAACTTTTATTTACAGAGACTAAACTATGGCTTATCCCTAGAGTGCAGCATTACATAGAAATGTAACAAAAGAAGGCTGTTCCATATGTACTTACATGACGTAGTTTTTAAGCAAGAAACGAAAGTACCTCCAGTGTGATATGCATCAATTTCTTTTTAAAACAGTAGACAGATGCACACATACAAGCATTTGAAAAGAGTTGTTTTGGAATCAACTCAGAATAGGATGTGGTATGGAATTATTCTCTGTACTCTGAACTGCTTTTCACATTTTTACCATGCGTACCCATCACTTTCTTTTTTTAAAGGCTTTTCTGAAATGATAACACCTTTCTTTCAGATCGTAAGGTTAGAAAAGACGTGGACTGCCCTGCGGCACCAGTACACCCAATCTGCCATCCTCTACGAGAAACAGCTGAAGCCTTTCAGCAAAATGCTGCATGAAGGCAGAGGTGAGCGCAGAGGGAGAAGTGAGAGCCTGCTGGCTGCCCATTAGTGTCAAAGCCCAGTAGGTCCTACCTGTTATTTGTCAAGGTATCTAAGGGGACATGTGTTGTCTGCAGGACTGCTGCTGCCTCTTCAAGGCTTTTATTAGGCGACAGCATTGCTTATAGGTTTGCAGTTGCTATAAGACAACACCACTCACCTCATTCTATGATTAGCTTTCAACAAAATATGACATGGAAAACTTTATTCCTTATTCTTCAGAGTCCATGTGTATCCACCCAAGTAATGTATCAGTCCCACTGCTGATGCCGCTTGTGACCTTAATGGAACGCCAGGCTGTCACTTTTGAAGGAACTGATATGTGGGAAAAAAATGACCAAAGCTGTGAAATTATGCTGAATCACTTGACAACAGCCCGATGCATGGCAGACGCTGCAGACAGCTACCGGGTGAATGCTGAGAGGGTCCTAGCAGGTAGGAACTTTTTTTGGTAAGCTGCTCTCTGCTCTGTGGAGTGAAGGAATGAAAAAGTATGGATGCCCTCAATTAGTGAAAAGACCAGGGGGAAAGATTAAGGCATTGGAATTCCATTTCCTGTGTGATTAATCATGGGATCACTTTCAAATGCCTTGAGTATCTACTTTCTGCTTTCTTGTGTTCTGTTGTTGTTCAGTGAAAAAACAGAAACACAGGGTCAAGAAAGTATTTATTATGTTAGTACATCTAAGAGATGGGACTGGGAAATGTGGCAGGCTAGTATGAGGTGCTTTTTTGTTTTTTGTTTTTAAGACAAGGTCTCACTATGCAGCTCCAGCTGGCCTTGAGCTTTGAAGCTCAGGCTGGTCTCAAATTCACAGTGATCCTCTTGCTTCAGCCTCCTAAATGCTGGGATTACAGGCATGCACACCACCACGCTGGTTAACATGATGAGGTGTTTTATCTGGATTTCATTTACTTGCATTCCTCTTCTTCCCAGCCACACTGGCAAGTGAGCTCCCTTGCCCCCAGCATCTGACGCATCCTGGAGAGCGCTGGGCAAAGTGCTGTGTAAAATGAACTTTCTCATAAGTACTGTGGTAACAGAACACAGCTTCCTCAGGTGGCTTGATAAACATTTGTCCCAGACATGGTGTGCGCAGAGAGACTCTTAAGAGGGCATTTCAGCAAAGGGTGCTAAGTGCAGGGTGTACTATGGAAACACGTAGGAAAAGTAACTGATTGGGTCAGAGACGCAGGCAGCGAGGAAGCATGTGGGGGTAGTTTCCTGCAGAAAATACACCTCCACCTTGGTGGTTAAAAGTTCAAAAGCAATTCACCAGAAGACAGGAAAAGATGGGGATTTCAATCACAGTCATAAAAACAGGAGTACAGCTTTCCTTGTAGGACTGTGGCACAGGAAGGATTTAAACAAAAGGAGGCACCCAGTCAGATTTATTTTTTAAAGTGAAGTACCCTGGTGACTGGAGGAGTGCTGGGCAGAGGGTGAGGGCTTGTAAGCAAAAAGATTATTTAGGAAGCAAATGCTAGAATGAGGGCTCTCCCAAAGCAGTTAACAGGGATGACCATGTTTTCTTCTATATAATTTTTAAAATAAAATCATCAAGGGCCCACAGTTTGATCCCTAAAAGGTTAGGAACTACATGGGCCAAGACAGACCTGTTTCATCCTAAAAGAAAGGTGTTCCCTCAGAACCACAATTTGGGACAGAGCAGTTTTACTGTGTTGGTTGTAAGTTTAAGGACCACGTACGTACTTGCTATTTATCCTCAAAAAGTCCTCTGGTTTCACAGTGTGAAACTCAAACAGCAAAAGCACACAATTCAACAGATACCAGAGCACCTACTTATGTTAAGTCAGTAAGTACATCACATTAGAAGTTGCACAAGCTAATACTGTTTTTGGGTAGGCTGGAGAAAAGTGTGTTTAAAGTGATTTGTGTAGGAGCTTTCAAGGTGGCTGATACAAATTGCTCATTTGATCCTGTAACAGATTTGTATAGCAACTCCCAGTGCTGGAAGTGACTAGATTTGCTCACCAGCGTCAAGTGCAAGGGAAGGGTTCAAAGCATTTTAACTGAATAAACAGAAACCATGGGTGTCTGGTTGGTTATTCATAATTGATATTTTGGTGTCCTCTGGAAAAAATACATTCTTTCTACCACCAAGATATAGATGGTATGAGTACATTTAGTGAAAGAGAAAAACTAGTTCAGTAATAATAATAAAGGATGAAAATGACATAACCCTAGCTAGATAACTCACCTGCCTCTTCTTACAAAGTCGCCTGAGCATCCTTGGTGTTAAGTAGGCCAGAACAAGGTTAGGAAACTGGTACACACAAATTGGTGCCAACTGATTTTTGACAAATGTGCCAAGAAAATTCACTGGAGAGAGTATATAATCTTTCAACAAATGATACTTTCAATAAAGGAACTGCTGGATAGCCATATGAAAAAAAAATGCTCCTCAATCCTTACCTTGTACCATACAAAATAATCCAAAGCAGATTACAGATGCAAAATATAAGAGCTAATGTACATCGTAAAGCTCTGATAAGAAAATATAAAAGAAATTCATCGTGCCCTTTCAAGTTAGGCAAAGATTTCCTAGGACACAAAAGCATGAACCATAACAGGAAACGCTGATAAAAGACTTAAATTTTTGCTCTTAAAAACACTCCCCGAAGAAAGTAAAAGGGTTAGACACAGAGTAGGAGAAAATACTTGCTAAATGTGTATCTGATATGGCTGGGGATCTAGCTCAGCAGAAGTTGTAAGTTTGATCCCTGTTCCAAAAAGAGATGTGCATCTGATCTAGGACACATAGACTTCATAAATACAACTTACAGCTCCATAAGAATTTAAATAGACAAGATTTGAATATACAGTACCTAACAGTGACAGGCTACATGAAAATCAGTTAATTAAATGACAGCATGAAAAGATTTCAATATTATAAATCATCAGCGAACTGTCAGTTTTACTACAATTTAGAAAGGCTACAATTACAAGAATGGTAAGACTGAGTTGGCAGCGCATAGAGAAACTAGAATGTCCATGTGTTGTAGGTGTGAATATAAAATAGTACAACTATTTTGCGATAGTTTATGACAGCCCTCCTGACACACACATACCCATACTGGGAGCTGAACCCAGCACCTTCACACTGTATCATCATCATCATTATTATTTATTCACCAACCTGTTTCAATTTTGAGACAGGATCTTGCTAGGTTGCCCAGGCTTAAACTTGTGGTCCTTCTGCTTTATTTTCACCTTCCTGAGTGCTAGGATTACAACCACGCCCAGCTTATGACAGTTTCTTTAAAAGTAAACATACACTTACATATGATCCAGTAATTCTGTTCCGACAGAAGTGAAAACACATGTCCACAGACTGTCACATAAATGTTGACACTGTTCACAATAACCAAAAATTGGAAATAATCCAAACGTCCACCAGTTAAATGAAAGGGAACACAAAATCTGGTATGTTCATATAAACTACTACTACTAAAAGGAATGAATTAATAACAAAATAATTTCATAAATATGTTAACTGAAAGAAGCCTGACAGAAAAACTCATATTGTATAATTCCATTTATACCAGCTTTCTAGAGAAAGCAAAATAGTAGCAAGAAAAAGTAGATGAGTGGCTGGCTGGGCTTGAGGAAGAAACTAGATGATATATTTTAAAACTATGTATTTACTATCATTAATCAAATATACAAACTTACCATCACAAAGTGCATAGATAACACAGATGAATCACAGGACATGCAAATTATACAGTAATAAACTTGTTACAAACTAGATCCCATGAATGGTCCATATCAGCACTGCAACCCATAGTGTCTCTGACAGATTTCATTCTGTTGTGCTTTAGTGAGTTTAGTTGTTAGTTTCCTCTCTGAAGCTAAGGTGGATGAGGAGATCCTACATGGGGAGGTGGGGGTTAAAGTTCTGAGAGAAGAGAAAGTTTGTTTTGATCCTATTTTTTTTTTTAAGTTTTCAGTCATTTTTAACACTGTGTTTTACGCAGAACTGAAGTTAACTTGGTTCTTTTGTTTTGATTAGGCTTCCAACCAGATGAAGAAATGAGTGAAATCTTTAAGACGGAATTTCAAATGCGATTACTGTGGGGCAGCAAAGGTGCAAAAGTCAATCAGACAGAAAGATACGAGAAGTTCAACCAGATTTTAACTGCCCTTTCACGTAAACTGGAGCCTCCTACTGTAAAGCAGGCAGAGCTTTGAAAACTGCAGAGACCTTCCTGGTGTTATTTCAAGCTTCTCCAGTTTCTTCTTTGGGAAAGCTCATCATTTGATAATGTAATGTGCAAATCTGACAATATACAAGCTTTTAATATCCACAGGATATTAAATATGTAAATTGCACAGAGCACACTTATTTATGAATTGTTTAAAATTACTACTGATTTTTACATGAATGATAATTTATTATTAAGGTAACTATTGTGAATGTTGATTGGCAAATTTAAGCGAAGCCTGGCTACACTGGCAGGTTACTTCCTGTTATCATGGTATTGGACCATTTTAGTTTTAATTTCCTGTCAGAGAACTGTAAATAGTTTAAAAGCATGAAACATTTCAGAAGGTATCAGTTGTATGATATTCTTTAAATAAATATGAAAATGTACATAGTCATGAATGAAAATATATCTTTTGTGAAACGATTGTATCCAGTCTCTTTTATATTAACTCATGTGGTATAATCTACCTCCCAGGCTTGGAAGGCACTTTCTTCCCTGGCCATTATATTCTAATGATAAACCAAAATCCTTTGAAAATGTTATGAAAAATTTTAAGTTTTCTGCCTTAAGAGACAGAGTGATAGTGACACAAGAAGTACCAGCTCCCAAAGACCTAGGTTCAACTCAAGCTCAGGTGCTGATTAGCAGGTGGACTTTGACTTACCTCATCGAGTGCCATGTGCAGCATGGCGCCTGGGAAAACTAGCACCCAGCTGTTGGTTCTATTTTATTTCACAACATCTCTTCAAATATAACATCTCTTCACTGAGGTCAGATCTTCCCCAGCGTGTACCAACTCAATAGGCCAGTCTCCTCTGGAGACACCTCATAGAATAATGAGGTTGGAATAATGCTTTATTATTTCCCAAGGTATTCCTTAGTCCAGTCAAGCTGACACCTGAAGAGATGAAGAATCTACATGTGAAAGACTATGGCACTTTTAGTATATCTTTTTTTTTTTTTTTAAACTTTGAATCAACTGAGAATACCTTAAACTAGACAGAAAAAAAACATTATAGACTATCATTGCATCTAGCTGCTAAGGACAATGAATTTTCTAGATTTGTGACTTCTCAAAGTAGGTACTCTTTTGTCAGTAGCTCTGTCAATTTTTTTCTGTTGTAAAAAATACAAGACATTACAATATTCTGTCACTTTACAACCAGCTGTCAGATAGTTTTCCGGATTTTTAAATATTGGGACTATAAAAAGTTTTATGCCCATCTTTTCTCAAATAGGCCATGAAAATTTATTCACAATATTAATCATCTTTAGGAAAATATGAATTATTGGTTACAAATGCTACATTATAACCTGGTTATCTTAAACATGCCTACTAGAACCAAGTGTAAGAGTTTCATTGTGCTCTTTTTAATACAAGGGAAATACTATTTTCAAATTCTGGACTCTATTTCTGTAAATGCAGCTTAGACACGTATGAGGGCCTTCCCTTTAATAAAGGCACCATCACTTTTTTTGTTGAAAAAAAGTCATGTGCACATCTACTTTTGCAACTTGATGGTTGAAATGCTCTTAGAAAGCCTGCTCACTACAAACTAAATCTTGAGTAAATGTTAATAAATATTTTAAGGCTTGACAGATGAAAGGGAGATCACTAAGGAACACTCCCTCCAAAGCACTCCCCAACCCACAGGTTCAGCAACTCTCCAAGATTTAAAGACTTGAGTAGCCCTGGAGACCAATACTCATGACAGTTCAGTGGGAAGCAGAACTGTCCATCAGTTAGGGAGCCTTAAAGAAAGTCCATGTTAACAGACTGGGGGGAAAATCAATATAACAAAATCAAGGAGGTCACTGGATATATTAGGACTCTACAGAAAGAGCCAACAGAATATTTATATAAATATGTAGATAGATGGGGGTTAATAGAGGAATTGACTTACATGTTTATAAAGCCTGATAAGCCTGACAAGCCATCAGCAAGCTGGAGAACATGGAAAGTTGACAGCATAGGATGTCCAACTCCAGGTGATTCAGAACTAGGTAACCCAGTGGTGTTACCTTTTCAAAACTCATTTTTACTTTTATTAGTACGTTTGCATATGTAATGATTATGCTCACCATAAGGGATGTATGTATATAACACATTTCAAGTCCTTCCCCCATCCCCTTTTTTCCAGCATCAAATTTATAAGATCTTATAAAATCATTATATGTACAGATTGAAATCCAGAGTAATAGGCCGAAGAATATATAAAATATGTAAGACAACTGTATTGTCAAGGTATCTTGATATATTGTCTATACTGAAGTACAACATTTTTTGTTTTTCCTGTTTTCTGTATCATTTCATATATATGAGGTGTTTTTTTTTTTTTTTTTTTTTTCCAGGAGAAAAACCATGTGGTATTTAAGCTTGTGTGTCTTGAGTTACTTCACTTAACATTATGGTGTCAAACGTACATCCATTTTCCTACAAATGACTCAGGTTTATCCTTTTTTATGGTATAGTACTTCATTGTGTATAAATACATTTTTCTATACGTCCCAAGATTTAGCTATTATGAGTTACACTGCTATAAACATGAATATGCATACATCACTATGGCATGATGCTTTTAACTCTTTGGGAAGATACCTAGAAGGGGAATAGTTGGGTCAAATGGAATTTCTACTTTTCATTTTTTGAGGATTCTCCATAGGATTTTATCAGTTTACACTCCACCAACAATGGAGAGGTTCGTTTCTCCCCACAGCCTTGCCAGTGTTTGTTACTGATTTCTTGATAATAGTAGCTATTCTTTCTGTAGTGAGCCTTCATCTCTTTTAATTTGCATTTTTCAAATAAGTAATGTTGAACATTTTTTCATGCATTGGACTTTTGTATTTCTTCATCTGAGAAGTGTCTATTCATTTTAGGTGCCCATTTTTCGGACTGGATCTTTAAAAGTTGGGGAGGGGTGTTTATTTTTAATTCTTTATATACTCTATGTATTAGTCCTTTGAGGAGTAGCTGGCAACATTTGTTTCCGTTCTGTAGGTTGTCTCCCTTTCTGTTAATGGTTTCCCTTGCTGTGCAGAAATCTTTTAATTTGATGTGAGCCAGTTTGTTGATTCTTTGTATTATATCTTGTGCAACAGGGGTTTTGTGCAGAAAATCTTTGCCTACACATACTCTGTCTTCAAAAGTTTTATCTATTTTGTCCCCCAGCAGATTGTGTTTTTGCTCTAATGTTTAGATCTTTGATTCATTTTTAGTTCAGTGCATGGTGAAAGATACAGGTCTAGGTTCAGCCTTTGGCCTATGAGTAGCCAATTTTTCTCATCACAATTTACTAAAGAGGCTCTTTCCTCCAGCAAGAGAAGTTGGCCCTTTTGTCAAAAATAAGATAGCTGTGTATACCTGCAGTTGTTTCTATGTCGTCTATCCTATTCCATTGATCCACAAATCTGTTTCTGTTCTTTTCCAATACCATGCTGTTTTTGTCACTGTAGTTTTGTGGTATAAAGTCCTGGATTGTGATATCCCCTACCTTGCCCTTGTTGCCCAGAATTGCTTTTGCTATTCTACATGGTCTTCTGCTTCCTTATGAATTTTAGGGTTGCTCTATATAATATGAATTTTAGGTTGTTCTATAAGGAATGTTACTGGCATTGTGAGATTGTGTTACACCTATACAACAGCCTTAAAAGTATGGCTATTTTGGTTCTATCTATCCAGGAATAGGCTATCTTTCTATGTTCTGTTATCTCCTTTTAATCACCTTTTTCAGAGTACTATAGTTTTCATTATGGAGATATTTCACTAGTTAGGCTACTAATGAGGTTAATTCCTAAGCATCTCATTTTTCTTAATGCTATTGTTGAGGACACTTTTTCCCTAATTTCCCTATCAATCAATAACTTTTGATTGACTTTGTGTCCTGTTACACTGCCAAATTTGGGTATTAGTTCTAGGAATCTTTTGATGGAGTTTTTTGGGTCTACTAAGAGGATCATATCATCTGCTGGTTAAGTTCCCAGTCAATATCCCTTTTCTTTCTCGTCTTACTGCTTTAATGTTTCAAGGACTATATTAAACAGAAGTGGTGGTAGCAGACATCTTTGTCATTCTCCTGATTTTAAAGAAGCTTTTGGCTTCTCTTAATTTAGTATGGAAGTTTGCCATTTGTTTTAAGATGGCTTTTATCAGGTTGAAATAGATCTTTTATTCCTATTTTCTTTAGGTTTTTTAAAAATTACGAATGGAAGTTGGATTTTACCAAATGCTTTTTTCCACCTATAGAGATGATCATGTGACTTTTTTTTTGGTCTTTTTTTTCCTTTTTATTGCTACCAGGGATCGAACTCATGACTGCCTGCTTGCAAGGCAGGTGCTTATGCCGCTGAGCTAAATCCCCAGCCCCCAATCATGTGATTTTTGTCCCTGCTTCTGTTTATGTGGTGTATTACATTTATTGATTTGCATATATTGAATCATTTCTACATCCCTGGGATGAATCCAAATGGGTCAACATGTACGATCTTTTTGATAATTTGCTGGATTGTCTGCCATATCTTACTGTTTTTTGCATCTCTTCTCATGAGATTGGCCTGTAGTTCTATCTTGGTTGGGTCCTTTCGTGGTTTTGGAATCAGGATAATGCTTGTTTCCAGGAATGAGTTTTGAAGTACTGCTTCCCTTTCAATTTATTTGGAGTTTGAGGGGTACTGGCATTGGCTCTCTACAGTTTTTGCAGAATTTAGCAGTGAATCTGTTAGAATCTAGCCTTTTCTTCGTTGGTAATTTATTACTTCTTCAATTTCACTGACTCATTCTGGCTTACTCAAGATTGTTACTTTATTCAGCTTAGCTCAAATGTCTCTAGGGACTTACTCATTCCCTCTGAATTTTTCATTTTATTAGAGAACAAATTCTCAAAGTAGTTATTGATAATCTTCTGAATTTCAGCAGAATACACTGTGATTTTCACCTTTTTCATTTCTAATTACACGGATTTGGATCTTTTCTTCCTTTATTAAGATTAGCTAAGGGTTTGCTATTTTGCTTAATCTTTCCAAGAAACAACTCTTTAATTCATTGATTCTTTGTATTTTTTAAGTCTCAATTTTATTAGTTTCTGCCTTGATCTTTAATTTCCTTACTTGTATTAGTTTTGGGTTTGTTCTAGTTTTTCCAGGGCCTTGAGGTACATCATTGGGTTATTTGAGTTTGTTCAGTTTTTCTGCTGTGGGAACTCACTCTTAGGAACTTCTGCTTTTATTGCACGCCATAGGTTCCAGTATATCATACTGGCATTGATTGTAGAATCTAATTTCTTCAATTTCATCTGTGACCCATTGCCTGACAGTATTATTTGCATGTATTTGCAGTTTATGTTGTTTCTTTTGCAACTGATTTCTAGTTTTATGGCACTATAATCTGATAATATGTATGGGGTAACTTTGACTCTTTTTCATGTA